AAAAACTGTGCTGCTATCCGCGACTGTGCGGATAGGCATCAAGGAGAGGCAGACGTTCACAAGATTGCTCAACTAGCTGACCAACTTCAGCTCGTTACCCCACCAGCAGTTGTCACAGTGCTTGCCGAAGCCTCGCACCCTTCCACTTTGCTGGAGATTCAGGCGAAAATTTCTCGCCTTGACATCATCGCGGTACTACAGCCAAGCAGAAGCCTACTACAGCCATGCTGCAGAACAACAGCGACAGCTGTGCTGGTGCCATAATAAGTTCGGTGACACTGCAAGGAATTGCGTGCCGCTTTGAGAGAAATCGGAAAACGCATGAAGCCAGCACTGAGGTGAACAGGTGCCACCGATTCAGAATAATGTCGCCGGTATTTCTTCCTGGCTGACCGCGAGAAAGCCACCCGCTTCGACGTCGACACTGGGGCAGAAGGGACACGCTGCTGGCGTCATCGGCTTATAGGAAAGGCCCGAGCTTGTCGCCGTTGCATTTTGTCAATAACACGACGATACCAACGTACGGACACCACTCTCTCTAGCTAGACTTGGGCTTCCACAGGACATTCAGTTGTATGTTTGTGGCAGATCATGAAAAGCTTGCTATCCTTGTAGCGAAATTCTCGCGCCATATTGGCCTGTTTGTTGATGTACGCAACCGGCATATACAGGATCCTCTCTCACAAGCAGGAGTGTGCGGAAAGCCATCTAAGCATCTCCCTCTCAGCCCTACGATCGTGATTCCACCAGGCACCGCTCGTTTTACGACTGTCCTACGCGAGTTTTTCTCGAGCTGAGGCGGCCACCACACAGACAGGTGGTGCCGTCAAGAACAATGTATTTCGCCACAATTTCATCACTGGACGCCCGTTTTAAGGAAGCGCACGCAGCATGTCCTCCCCCCAAAAGCTAAAAGTAGTTGGACAGGAGTTCAACCACATGCTCGAGCACGGCGAAATGCGGCCCTCCACCCATCCGCTGGCCCATCCGCTGGCCTCGCAATTAAACATGGTGCCTAAGTATACATCAGGAGACTGGCGGCCCTGTGGCGAATATTGAATCCTCAATCGAGCGACCATTCCCGAACCTATTGTGCCTGCCATAAAATTCCCATGGCCCCATAATACATCCCGAAGACCACGGTAACAACGTCAGCCAGCCTGTTTAATATCCTTCGTATGGTGTTCGGCTAGAGAAATCCCGGACATACATCACAGCGTTTTATTAACGGTGTTTTGCTCGGCCTCGACTTCTGCGATGCATACTTCGACGATTTACTCATCACAAGCAGCTCACCCGATGAAAATGAGCTACATCTGCTATCTGTGTTTCAGCGCCTGGTAGAGCAAAGAATACTGGTGAAAACGAACAAGTCTGAGTTTGTGATGCACAGGCTGATGTTTCTTGGTCAGGTAATCTCGAACTGTGGAAATAAATTTCCTTCAGACAAGTCTGAGTTTAGCATGCACGCGCCGATGTTACTTGGTCAAGTCATCTCGAACTGCGGAATTAAACCTCATCGAGACAAGGTTAAAACAGTTGAGCAGTTCCCACGACCCAACACTAAACATCAGCTCTATGAAATTTTGGGCTTGTGAACTACTACAGTCGTAAAATACCCCAGTGTGCAACTATTCTGCAGCTCTTGACCTCCAGCTGTCGGCACACGAAGGTGTCGCCAAAGAGCTCCACTGTACGGAGGGTGGGTGCCCAAGCGGCCTTCCAGTAAAGTAACATACGTTTTGCCGACGCCACACTATTCACTTACCCACAACTGGGGGTTTCGTCGTTTATTATGGTGAACACATTAGGCGCAGCTGTGCGTTTCACCCTTCAGCAATGCATCAATGGAAACTGACGCCCGCGGAACAGCGGTCAGAACCTTCAGATGTTAACTGTTGGCCGTCTACGTGACAGTCAGGCACTTCTGATATTACTTGAAAGGTACAGAGTTCCTTGTCATAACGGACCACAAACCTTTCACGTATGTGTTGCGATCACCGAGTACTGAGGGGGGGGGGGGGGGTACCCATACTGCCTGTGAATTTCAGCAGATGTTACACACGACTTGCCATGGACATCCATCACATCAAAGTAGCCGACAACGCTGTCACCAATGCCATTTCGCGTAGCCTATTGAGCGCCATAACCTCACTCCTAGAAATAGACCTCAACAAACTGGCGGCTGCTCAACGCGATGGCGACGAATTGCTCCGCCTCGCTAAACCTGCATTAGTTCCCATTGCGAGGTACAGAAGGCCTTTTCTGCGACGCCTTTACAGGCAAGCCATGACCATTTGTCTCTGCGAACCTCCATGGCAAGCTAATGGCATTGTTACACAAGATACCACACCAGCAAATCTATACTATGCAAAAGCTCCTCACCGCTCGTTTTGTACGGTCAGGCACCAAGCGTGATTCCGACAATGAACGCGTTAGCGCCTCCCGTGCCAGCGTTTTAAGGTGTAACGTTACACCATGGTACCGTAGCCGACGTTTCCAGGACGAGGTGCGTGATTCGGCCTTCTACAAGTCGACATTATAAGGCCGTCACCACCCTGTCAGGGATAAATGTACTTGTTGACTTGTGCTGATTGTTTCATGCATTGGGCGGAGGTTATTACCATTCGTAAAATCACAGCTAAAACTGTTGCTCATGCATTTGTTAGCCACTGGCTCTGTCACTTCGGCGCGCCATCATTCAACACAAGCAGCAGAAAAAGCTAATTCGAGTCCACAATACTCACCAGTCTAAAGAAGCTCATTGGTACTTCGTGGCTCAGAACGACAGCCTACCATCCCACGAGTAACAAAGTGCTTCAGCGATTCCACAGGCAGCTGAAAGCCGCACTCATGACAAGCAAAGAACACTTTGGGGTGAAGCACTGCCCATTGTTTTTTCGGGCATATGCAGTGCATTCAAGGCTGTAATCGGATGCAGCCATGCAGAACTTGTCTACGGTACAACTTTGCGCCTGCTTGAGGAGGTTTTTGCGGCTTTCCGACAACAAGTCCACATTCTTGCTGGTGACTATGCATCGCACCTACGTCACATCATGATGACAGTTCAAATTACACCTCCACGACTGACATCTGATTAATGTCGTGAAGAAGGAAACGTCTACCCGCCTAATACTAGTCATTTTAAATACCCATATATTTAACGCCTATGGCAAGTGTAGCTGCGAACCGTCCGCTACACCATTATTTATAATACGAAACAGCAATGTAGCCACCGCACGCACGTATGACAACACGTGCAGCTTCACGCGTTGTTGGTGCTGAAAATAATGCTGATTACATACGCCTTATTGCTTTGTAATGACTGGCCGCTTAAGCCATCCAGTCGTCATGGAAGCGACATGGCATGGAACCTGGTTCTATTGTTTTCTTATATCATACAATATAATATATATAAGTGGTCTAACTCGCGTAGCATGACACCCGTAAACAGTTATTTTTTGAAACAGTTGAATGTACTGGCGTGACTGACATAAAACCTCACTTCCGTGCGGAGGCTATGAAAGTGATTGACTGCCATGCGAGTATATACAATTCAAAATAAAGGATTCAGAAGAAAGTTTTGTGGGTGCAGTGCACAAATAGATTAGAAAGAAAGGAGCGCACTTACGTCAACTGAATATTTTTGTACTTGTTTACGTGTGGGCCGTAGCATTTCGTCAGCCACGCCAGTGGCTTTGTTCAATTTGACAAAGGCAGTGTCATGGCAGGATGGTAAACAAATAAACAATGTTGAATTATTTGTTCAAAAATGTTCAAAACTGTTAGATTTCAGAAAATATCTGTCAATTTTGTCTAATATCTTCCCCTATAATTTCATATCATTATTGTGTGTTAGATCGGATTAAAAATGTGTCAAAACACGAAAGGAATAAGCCCTTAAGAATGCACTTCTTTACCTTATTCATTATTAAGGGTTTCGTACTGGCAGATTGGTGCCTTAGGTTGTATACAAGGGATTATTGGTCAGCTGCCAGCTCGTAGTAAGGTAATGTGCTACTTGACGCCACACACGCTCTTAAAGTGTGTGCCACACTCGTCGCCTTGGCTACTTATGGCACTGGCGGACACTCCCATGTTTAAATTCACGTATATACCCAATAAAGTCACCCCGCCGTTGTGGTCTAGCTGCTAAGGTACTCGGCTGCTGACCCGCAGGTCGTGGGATTGAATCTCGGCTGCGGCGGCTGCATTTCCGATGGAGGCGGAAATGTTCTAGGCCCGTCAGCTCAAATTTGGGTGCACGTTAAAGAACCCCAGGTGCTCTAAATTTCCGGAGCTCTCCACTACGGCATCCCTCATAATCATATAGAGGTTTTGGGTCGTTATAGCCCACATACCAATCCATCAGTCCAATAATGTAGCTGGGAGGAAAGCCGCAATGGTAGCTCGGTGGTAGAACATCGAACGCGTCATTCGAAGGTCGCTAGTTTGGTTTCTGTTCACAGCAAGTCATCTTTTCACCCACTTTTCTTCCTTCATATCTACATTACAATTTGGTATAACAACTTCTACTATGAGAACCCTTTTCTTGTAATATTGTGTATTAGATCTGATTTATAATGTGTCAAAACGCGAAAAAACGAGCCCTTAAGTCTACACTTCTTTCCCATATATATACAATGGGAGAGAAGTGTAGGCATAAGGGCTCATACCTAATGTACATAATGTTGGAGCCTGTTGACTGCCCCTTTAAAAAGGAATCGCATGGCATTCTTGCCTCCGTGTTAGAAAAAAATTTGGTATCACTGAATTTGTGATGCACTTGCTGAAACTGTAGTGTCATACATTTATACACACTAAGAGGCTAGTGGCCAGTCGTAATTTCCAAAAAAGCTTTGCACAGAATGACGCAAGTCACAAACACATAAAAATAGTAGCATACGCACTTGCGTTTGCGTGTCCTTATGCGCGTGTCTTGTGTCATTTTGTGCACTGCTTCTTTGAAAGTCATTTATTAGACATACGGCGTTGCTTACCTGTAGGTCTTATGCAAAGTGGCAACAAATGGCAGCAGGTTAGTGCCATATATGTGCCACGCACCAATCCCACAACAAAGTAGCGAGAGCACCACGAAGATGAAAACAGTGACCCAATTCTTTCTGTCAAAAACATAATGACAATAACATTTAGCGTTACATTCAAAATGGCAGGAAATTCTTTGTATGGTTTGTGCATTTCTAGAAAGAAGACAATCAACCGGCTTGACAGCGTCACAATTTGACAAAAAGTAGCAAGAACATTTCATTATGTTTGCATTGTAAACACTCAAACACTAAAGAAGCAGAAAGTGCGTAATTTATTGACACTATGACGCACTTGTGTGATATAAGGTGTATAATAATTGTGAGTAGTCGTGGGTCAGGCATGTGCACGACGGAGTGCAATGAGCGGTGTCGACTTGACAGCATTGCATAGAGTTAGGCGCTGTGTATAGCGGTTGGCTTCGTCAAATAAAGTGTACAATTTTGTGATTCCGGACCACGTGCGTAGCTCTATAGGTAATACAAACCATACGGATCCTACGCTACAGCAGCTAGCAGACTAATTAAACTAGAACCAATCCTTCCACCATTATTGCTATTTTTTGCAGTTCCAGATCGAATGTCCTCCTCAGGCCGTCGAGCACGTGCTCCACCGCTGCCACCAAGCACGCTATGTGAGTAGAATAGAGCTAGTGCAGAACAAAGGCGTGTGCTGCGAAGCTCACGAATTCATAATTTCATCCGGGTAAACTGTATTCATGCTCATCTCACTCTTATACATCTACGTGTTCTACATGTAATCTGTCTTGCCGTGCTACTGACACGATACTCGCATTCGAATGAGATCGTAGTCGCGTTCCTCTTTTCATTTCGGGCTTTGGCAAGCACGTCATCCGCATGCGTCAGGATGGGCATGCCTTACTGTTGCGTACCAGTGGGCAGACCGAACGGAAAAAAAGAATGTTTTTTTTCACCTCATTAGATTAAAAAAAATCCTTATGCATTACCCTAAAAAAACTCTCGCGCAAATGCCATCTTCAATTTATTTACAGTCAATGTATTTAATACCCTCCGCTTCATTGCGAAAAATTTTTGCACCTAACACTGGTTTATTTACTCGCTCAAACAGCGGATGCATTGCATGAACTATTGTTCTCATCGGTATATGTACTGGCTCTGTGATTGGCCTATCTTTGACCTAGCGAAGTAGATATAACATCATCCTTAGACGACGCGTCATATGGCATCACAAATATTTGGCATCTGTCACATTGCGACCTAGAAGAATATTATAAGGCCTGCTCATTGCCGCCGTGACGACATTTGTTTTGCTCGAACGAGCTTGCGTATGGTAGGCTGTGAATCTGATGCCACCATCACCTCCCGTTGAAAAATAAAGCGTTTGCGGCGAGTTTTACATGCATGACAGCTTTATTCTGCCTGTTGTGTAAAAAAAGTTCCGGTATGAGTAATTGTTGTACTTGAAAGCGTTTCAAGATTCCACTATTTCTTCCGCCAAAAAATCGAAAATTGTGCGCTATCAAACGTATGACGATCCACCATAAGAGCAAAATTTATTAGACCAACGAAGTAACAAAATAAATATGGTAAACTTTATGGCTTCTTTATTTACACACACACGTGCGCGCACACACACTATCTAAATCATGCAGAGAAACTGTTCCTACTTATTTGCTTTGTTTGTGCAGTTTTTATTTGTACTCTTTGGAACATCTGTCTTCATAGACACGAAGTTATTGAGCAGAATGTGTGCTGCTGCCAATATATGTTGGTCAGCACATTATCAGGATGATGAACATTGCAGGAGAAAAAAAAATCTTTCTTTCCACAACAATCTCTTGTGACCGATGCAAAGAGTGGGGCTGACTACTTTCCTCCGGCCTCTCTCGGATTGGTGCGTAGTCAGTCATATAGCTTAGGGCCTGGAAAAATATTACCACTGGAGCTATATTAAACCTTTCAGCCCCCGTGAGCATTTCTATTGCGCTGCCAGTTCTTGGATAAGTATATTTTTGTACCGGTTCTTAAATATTTTAGCTTGAAGTAGAGCTCACGCTCCTAAAATTCATTTAGGAAGGCGCTTTACCGTAAGTCTCGACACGCATCTAAATTTCAAGTAAACACACTTGGATAAGGTGCTAGCAAGACTGGTGCAAAACTATAACACCGCAATAAAGTGGTAGGAACACCGGGAAGAAAATATCTTGCACAAAACCAATGCATTAAGTAATGCAACAGCATTCCTTCCATTTTTGTCAATCAAGTGAACAGAATAACACAAGTTCGCGGTGATAATCACAAATAGCAAAATGTTTACCTACCCTGAAAAAAAATTACGCCTGTTCTGAAAACGTACTGCCATGCACGTTTATTATTTTAATGCCAGAACTTACGTCAACAAGTGAGAAGTACACAATACACCTCTATTTTAGAGAAAGAAAAAAACATGGTGAAGATGGGGTCATTGGAGCGACTTGGAAATATTTAGTATGGGTTCACGTACTTTCGGGTCACGAAGAAAACGGATGTCGACGTCAGCTTGATGAACGACGCACTCCCACTGCGTTCGTTGGTTGTCCTTAGAAAAGGAGAACACTCTCAACGTCGGTTCTTTTGCCGCGACAATTTGCAATGCAGCATCGCCCGACTGTTCCGATTTGCAGCCGTACAAATTGCGAATATTCAGTGCACAAAATGCATCACATATCCACGCTGCAATTCCCGGACACAGAAAAGACGGTGTTCTCGTGTCGTCAACAAGTGCACCAGCATGCCGCAAAGATGTTCGTCGGGCTTGGCCATTCATGTCTGTCGAGCAACGACAGCAAGCGTAGGTACGTCTCTGCAGCGGAACACACCGGTCTATATAGAGTGACGTCAGAGCTCAAGACAGATACAGTGAGAAGGCCTGAAATAATCTAGGTGGCATTGTTTGGTTAGGTCATGACAACGTTGTAAATTTGTGGCATCGCTTGTGTTGATACCACCGACGTGCACGCTGCCGGATTGTTTAGCTACTCGTCACCCACGGTCAAGTTTTTCGCCTGATGTAGAAATAGCAAGTTTCGTCTTAAAGCACTGTTTGGCTGTCTTCTCGCAAAATTGCAGCTGCCGCTGTGCAGGACAAGCGGTTTGCAGCAATTAGGCGGGATCATTAATTTTTATTGCGTTTTTAAGCAACACTACCACATATAGCCAAATTTTCTACCAGAATAATTCATGGATTGCAAGTGGCAGCTGAAGAAGGATGCAGTAACGTCAGTTTTTCCAATCTATTTTACAGGCGTGCGTGCTGACGTAACAACTGAACAAAGCATGCGGAGTGTAACAAAACAGAACAGTGCTGCGTCTGCACAGTCAACGAACGCATGTACCATCGCAACGATGCTTTATGATCACCGGGCAGTGCGACGTCGACATGAGGTCATGAAGCTAAAGCACAGCACTCCGTGTACACGACATGCGGTACCAGTGAAAGAACTGATAGTCATTCTGTATTGTGTCACATTGAATGCGCGCACAAAGCTGAACAGGCTGGAAGCCCATGTGAGAGAACCAGATTGACTACCTCTATTTTCCTGACTACCAAAAAAGCAAGTTAAAGACAAACTAAAGATACCTGAGAAGCCAGATACTGAGACTATACAAGAAACAACAAGTACAAAGAACACTTTAAGAAACTGACAACAGGTTTCATTCTCCACACCTATCACATCGGTTGACGAATCCACTTTACGACTTCAAAGTTGATTAGCAGCGTCTTTTCTTACACATCGGCCAGTGTCGCTGAAATCGCACATGTGCAGCTGCTTTAAACATCATCATAATCAGCCTGACTACACTCACTGCTGGGCAAAAGGCGTCTCTCATGATACGCCCATCAACCAGGTCTTGCGCCTTCTACTGCCACGTTATACCTAAGAATTTTTTATTCTCATCGGTTCACCTAAGTTTGTCTCCCCTTTGTGCGGTTGCCTTCTCTGGGAATCCAGTCAGTTACCCTTAGTGACCAGCGGTTATCCTGCCTACATGCTACGATCTCGGCCCATGTCATTTTTTTTATTTCAGTAATGACATCTTTAACCCCAGTTTGTTCCCTGACCCACTCTGCTCTGTTCTTGCCTCTTTCGGTTACACATACCGATATCTTTTCCACTGATCGCTGCGTCATTTTCTATTTAACCTGAAACCTCTTTGTAAGCCTCCCGGTTTCTGCTCCGTAGGTAAGTACCGACAAGTGCAGGTGTTATATACCTTCTTCTTTGAAACTTAGTGGGAGATTGCCATTCATGGTTTGAGAAGGGTCGCCGATTGTTGTTCACCCAATTCTTATTTTTCTAGCTGTTTCTCTCTCATGGTTTGGCTCCACGGTTGATTGATTGATTTGTGGGGTTTAACGTCCCAAAACCACCATTTTATTATGAGAGACGCCGTAGTGGAGGACTCCGGAAATTTTGACCACCTGGGGTTCTTTAACGTGCACCCAAATCTGAGTACACGGGCCTACAACATTTCCGCCTCCATCGGAAATGCAGCCGCCGCAGCCGGGAATCGAACCCGCGACCTGCGGGTCAGCAGCCGAGAACCTTAGCCACTAGACCACCGCGGCGGGGCTTGGCTCCACGGTTACTACCTGTCCTATGTAGATATATTTACAACTTCCACCGCCTATGCATCTATCGCAAAGCGCAATTTTCTGCCGAGACTGTTACAAATTACTTTTGTTTTGTGCACATAGAATTTCGAACCTATTTGGCTGCTTTGCGTGTTCAGTTCAGTTATTATGAACTGTAATTTCTCCCGTGAACTACTCGTCCATGGTTATCACTGAATCACAGGTTACTAAGGTACTCTCCAAAAACTCCTGTTCTTAACTTTTCCCAATCTTAGAACCAGAAGACTTCCAGTGAACACGCGGTGATTAACATTGGAGAGATAGTGTCTTCATGCCTTACACCCTTTTTAATTGTGATTCTGTCGCTTTTGAAGGAGAACCATGGTGGCTACAGATCCACTGTAGATTTTTTCCAGTTTGTATACGTAGGGTACGTCAATCCCTTGGCTCCGCAGTGCCTGAATCGATGCTGATTACTCGACTGCGTCAAACACCTTCTCCTATTCTAAGAAAGCTACGTAAAAAGATTGGGTGTGCTCCGTGCATTTCTCTATTACCTGATTGATAGTAAAGTACGGTCTATTGTGAAGTAGCCATTAAGAAAATGCTGCTTGGTCCTTTGGTTGATTGAACGGCAGTATTGCCCTAAATTTATTTGCTAATATTTTTGTAAATTGTTTGTAGGGAACAAACAATAAGCTTAACAGCTTGTAATTTTTTAAGTCCTTGACATCTCCTTTTTTATATAACTAAAAAATTTGTTGTTCTTTCAAGATTCTGGTACCCTTCCTGACAAGAGACACTTCGTTTATAAGGTGGCCAGTTTTTCTTTCTAACACAATTTCCCCGCCATCTTTCAGCAGGTCCGTTGTTACCTTATCCTCACCAGCAGCTTTGCCTCTTTGCATTTTTTCTGGGGTTTTCTTACTTCCCTGGTCTTTACTGGGGAGAATAGGTTTCATTTGCTCGGATAACTCATGTAAGCTGAAGTTAACTGACAGACCTTTTTGTTACAAAATAGCGAGTAATACTGGTTTTATCTTAGAAAGATTATGCACCAGCACTTTGCAAATACGAACTGAAGTCTATTTCTACTACGATTCATTTTAAGCTAAAGCGCAACACAAAGATTATATTATGATGTAGAAATGATATCTCTGCCAAATATTTTGAATATTGAGTTCACTTACGTTCGAAATGTCTGTATTACAGCCACTGCTACGATGAAGAGCTGGAAATCAGCGGAGAGGTACCACAAGTGTGTCATGATGCGCTGCGAAAGTAAGAATGCGGTTACATGGCTGCCGTGAGCTTTATGCTCTTTTCAGAAGGACCAATATTTGCGGTTATTACTAGTAAAACTATGTCTAACTGAAAGAAGGCGGAGCAACTAAATGCTTGCACTGTTATCACGTTTTACTGTGATAAAGAACGGTTCTTTTCTGGTTGAATGTAAGCGTAAAGGTTGAAGTAACAGACAGGATGCAAATAACTTCACTGTATTATGGAACATATAATGTATTCAGTCTCATTTCATGGCCAATGACAACTGCTAGGTTTAAGAGACATTTTCCAGATCACTCCTGGAGATATTTCTTACCCGGCAAGAATACCAGATAAGAAACCCATCACGGTAATAAACAGTTAGCATACTTACAATAAATATCTGCCCAGCCAAATATAGAACCGCATAACGGCCGCATCTCATGCAAGCTACATAGACGGGCTTCTTAGGTTTCTTGACAGAGGAACGAGTTCTTTTATATTCTCTCAGAGGATTTACATCATTGCAGTTAAAAGCCATTAATGCATCTGCTGGTGAGCCATGAGTGAGTATACAGCAGACTAGCTGCACGTATGACATGGACAGATTATTCATTGCTTCATTAGTGCCATGGAGGGGCTGTCACTTGAGCGTTAAAGCAGTTAAGGCTAAAGAAGTGTGTTGAGAACCATGTGCATGTTTTTAACACACTGTAGAGATATGGCTCGTAATCTTTTTTTTTGGGTGGCCGCCTAGGGAAAAATTTTGCGCGTAAACAGGGGTCGAAATAACAGAAACACTATGGGCTCAAAGTTTCCATGGAGAGAACTTTCAGTCAGTCCGAATGCTATAACCATGTCATCACTAGAGCATACTGGCCGTTGACAAAGGCTTACGAAGGGAGAGTTTTGCGAATTCAGCCACGACGTTTGCGCGAATTTCTCGTTAAGAATAATTTTAGGTGAAACGCTGTTCAAAATGGAAATGAGGATTTCGTAGCGGTAATTGTCCGTAGTTTTATTATGACAATGTAGAAATGAGGAAAATGAAAATGTCTGCTGACAGCCTTTGTTTGTCTATGTACAAACATAGGCAACTCAAGTGTGGTTAGCAATGAGGTCAGTCATGAAAGCTGAAAAAGGCAGAGAGCGAGGTCATGATCATGCAAGGGACAAGGTGGACAGCTATATCCAGAAATTATAAAAGCGGCAATGTCCACATAAATAACGTTTGTTCATTAATGCATACCACACACTTTTGCTTGAACGAGCATCAAGTAAAATAAAATACCAACGAGCCCAATTGGAACCATCAAAAACTTCATTTTGCAGTCATTTCATGCAGAATAACGAGCTTCTTGCGCTGTTGCATAAATTATACTGTTCGCGTTTATTGTGCGACTTTTCACAAAGTGACTCAATTTACTAGTTCCTAGGCAATAATATAAATGAGTACTGCGTGAGCGGCGTGCATAGAAACAATGCTTTTGGGATTGTAATAAATTGTCACTTTCAGAAGCGTTTTTTGTGTATTGAGTGAGTTCCAGAACAAGAAATTCCCGAGCCTCATTTGCTATTTAGTGCTGAGAAATAATGCATAGAAGTTTCCCGATATTCTATTTCTAACGTAGTTAAGTGCAAAGCATCCTTGAGGCACAGCGCTTGCAATTTTTTCTTCACTTTCAAATATAATTTAAAAGGAGACGATACAGAAAAAAGTATTTGTTTTAATGTGTAGCGTACATTGTCTGTTATGTTAACGGCAAGCCGTTTGTATAAATTATACATCTTGTCGCAATCCTCTGAGCTTCGAAGGTTTAGCGCGTTTTCCTTATCAGTGGCGAGATTGCGTGATGGGCTCACATTGGGTGCACTCTAAAGGTCTTGGCCTCTTCGAAGCTCCACTTCATCAAAGCTTGGTCTCTCCTGCGTGCGCGCTGATCGGTCTCGTAATTCGGGAAAAAAACTAAGGTCACTTTGTACGCTGCCACTGCCACGTTTCCGAAAAGAAGACGCTGCTGACATAAGACGCGAGAAGAATTGCGGCACTTTAGCGCTTGTCCTGAGTATACTTGTGTGCTCATTTCGTGCATCTTTCGGTTTGAAGAGCGCGCTTTAAGTGCCGAGCTGTGACAGTCGCTAGACCGCGCTTGTCTTTTGGATATCAACTTCGTGAGTGCTTTGTGCTTGAAGTGCGTGCTGAAAGTTTCGAGCGGCTTGCTGTTCTAAACGTGACTGCGATTAGTTGATCTTGCTGAAACAATGCACACTGAACGTTCAACTACCCCTCTGAAGACATGTTTCACTTTCTGTTATACTGATTTCTAGACAGGGAGCTTACTGACGGTTTTTTTTATTACCCTTACTTTTCAGCGCAATTTGTGTGCCCCTAAATTGTTATTGTTAAATAGATTGCTCCACATATCACTAACAAAATCGCAAATAACTCGCTAGAAATTGTGTATAAGACATTTTAATGAAGCAGAAAGACCACACTGCAAGAAGTTTTAAAATTTTACGCACACGCCAATGGCTTACTTTACGTTCATATTAATTATAGAAGTTATATTTAGTTATAAAGACAATAAACGTCTGCACTCATTACAAAATGTGGGGAAAATATAACCTTATATAGCAATCAGAAGTACACAAGATATTAATGACCATATTTTAGCTGTTGGCATAAATTGCATCTTGAGGAAATAGATTTCATACATGGAAATAAAAGCTAATTTATGAGACAATGATAAGCTTTTATTTCGAAATTGTTTTATATTCAGGTCCACCATGGCTCCGCTGACATACTTCTGTCACGAATACAGCACTCCGAAATATATAGTAACAGAGTGAAAGGAAAAAATACGATAGGAAAATGCTTTCTTACCTGGCCTTGGAACCTATGACATATCACTCCGCAGCGCGTGGCACCAAAGCAGATGGTCACAAAACGCATTTTTTAGAGCATTCAAACGGAGACCTATTTAATTACACCCTAAACTGTTTGGTCCTTCTCAGAATTCCACAATTTCAGCTTGTTTTCGTCATCAGTAGTGAAACGGCATGACGTGTATGCTTTGATCACGCTTTAAAAGTCGTTTCCTCTAGCATTTTGCTGTGCGCTTGGACCTGGTCTCTCGTTTACGTGCGCTTATTTTGGGATTCTGCTGAGCACGATGACCATTTCGCTCGCTGCCGGCTGCCGCGGCCGCGTTTACGAAAACAGCGCACTGCTCATCCTTGATAAAATAGGAATTGTGATAGTGGTGTGCACTTGTCCTGTGTAGCCTTCGCGTTCTCTTCGTGCGCCAATCTTTCTGTTTGAGCAGCGTGCTTTGTGTGTCAAGCTGACAATTTTTAGACCACGCTCGCGTTGTATATAGTCATTTCATGCGTGTTTTCTGCTTAGGCTTCGTGCTACAAGTTTGAGCTGCTTGCCTTTCTTCGTGTGACAACGATTTGTTGCTGTAGCATTCATTGATTACGCCTTCTGTTGAAACAATGCACAATAGCTGCTCAACTGCCTTTGTGAGCCACCTTTCACTTCCGTGTTATATCAATTCCTAGAAAGAGGACACCCACCTTTTTTTAATAACTTTGTGTATTTAACTTTGTGTATTCATAAAGTTAAGTACAACGTTCAATTGCGAGCTTGGGAACCAAGGTTCTTTTGACGATGTGGCTATACTTATCTTCTCATACAGACGTTATCGCACGCAACCAGGCAAGAGTTTTCAGATGACTCTAGGGAATGGGATATGTTAAGCGTTCAATAGCCACCTCCTGCTCTAGAAAAGAAATTTTAGGCTACTTCCAAGTTTAATACCAACCTTGAATTTCTTTGCATGAGAGTGCAAAAACTAAGCTTTTGAAAGCTATAAAACAAAAAATAAAACCTTGAAAAAAGAACATGTGACTTCCAAGTAGCATCAACCCTTAAAATTGCGTTCCGCGATTAGATTTCTGTAAAATGAGGCCGCATGCAAATAATTTATTTCGATTGCGAATCATGTGCAGAAAAGATTGCAAATTATGCACAATATGCAGGTGCTAAATTCTACTTTGAGAGCTAGAAACACTCCTTGGCCGCCTTGTTTTGGCACCGCATACAACGACATTGGCTGGGATGAAAAAGGTATTGATAGGTTCGTGCGAACTTTGATGTTTAATAAATCCGATGCCGCTGTTCGACTAGCCTGTGTAATGCTGTCCCTCCATCTGCACCGCTCCCCTCGACGCAGCTGTTGAAATGGTGCCAAGTACGTGACGCCTTTCTAGCAGTGTGCGATGACGTCTCTCACCCTCGCCTGTCACGCACTCGCCGCATGTCAGCTCGTTCTCGCTTCACCCTCTCCATCACTCGCAGCGCTCGAGCCCACTTCACAAGTGGAAATTATCTCACCAGAGCCACCTCTCTCCATCTGTGGATGAGAAGAAGCCACGAGTGGGTGGGTGCGCGCGCTTTGCGCACCTACAATGGGGACCGCGCCACGCTGCTTGCCTAGCGATCACGCCGACGGGCGCATGGCGTCGTGGCATAACTACCCCGTCTCACGACCCTGGGGGGGGGGAGGACATGCTGGACAGATGTATGGATGATGATGGATTACAGTTCAAGTTCAAGTTTATTTTTTCTCAGGGTATTATAAAATAGAAGAAAGTACACAGGAAGAGGTCCCACTATTAAAAACTGTAGTGGGTCCTCTTGTTATTTATTACAGAACAAAGTAAATATGCAACGGTAGTAAACAGAAATGTATACCAAATTTATATATTGCTTGAAATGACAAAGATGCCGTGGTAGCACAAGGTTGCATTGCATATAACTCAAGCGAAAATAAAATGCGCTGAAAGGATGGCGATTAGAAAGAGCGAATGAACCGACAAATCAAAAAGTTCAAGTTCTCTCAAAATGAAAAAATCAGTAGTATTTACAGAGAAACCACATAGGCTTTTAATAATCATTGTTATAATGACTGTGAAAGTGATTCTTTTAAGAGAACTGGTAGATCA